TTCCTGGATCTGCTCCGAAGATAGTTCATCGACATTTGAGGGATGGAGATGTTGTCATCATGAATCGACAACCAACGTTACATAGAGCATCAATGATGTGCCACTTCGTTCGAGTCCTAACAGTACGTGTCTGTGTTGCGTCTTCTGGGCATCTCACATCATTTTTCAGGGATGGAAAACCTTCCGACTCATGTATGTCAATTGTGGTTCTTACAACGCTGATTTCGATGGTGATGAAATGAACATGCATCTGCCTCAAGATCTCTGTGCTCGCGCTGAAGGCCAGGCGATTGTCAACGCAGACTGCCATTACATCACTGCAAAGAACGGAGAACCTTTGCGGGGTTTGATTCAGGATCACGTTTTGGGAGGAAATTTTCTGACCTGTCGCAATACATTCCTCAACGCAAATCAATATTATACTCTGGTAAGCGGCGCTTAATCCTTCGTGCTTCTCCACGTATTCTCCCCCACCCTTCCATCCCTCGTTACTCGTACACTTAGTCATCTCCAATTCGACAATCCTAGTGGGTAATGATTTGATTGTGTCCTTCAGCTTTACGTTGGAATGGGCGTCTTCATCGACCGCGGACAGAAGATGTACCTTGGGACAGGATTAACGCGAGGTCGCGCTTCTAATGTCGCATTCAGCGCTTATACCGGAAAAACGACGGGGGATCCTTATTTCCGTATTATGTCGCTCGAAAATCTTCCGATGAGAGTTGAACCTCCGACAATCGTGAAACCGGAAAGACTTTGGACTGGAAAGCAAGTTATCACATCGATATTGAAAACGATGGTCGACGCTATGGCCTTCGCTCGTTATGGAAATGATGAAGACTTCTGCAAAAACTATAAAGGGATCAATTTTTCGTCAAAGTCGAAGACACCTGGCGATGCTTGGGGAGGCGTACTCGATGGTGACAAGGAGGAGTCAACAGTAATCATTCGGTGCGTTCACATACACACATTTGTTTATTATGGTGTCTTTCTTGTTTGTTGTAGGGATTCTGAACTTCTTCAAGGCGTCTTTGATAAAAGCCAATTTGGGGCCTCCTCGTATGGATTGGTTCATTTGTGTTTCGAGCTATTGGGGCCGCGAGCTGCAGGGATTCTCCTGAGTATCTTTGCACGAACATTCACCACATTTTTGCAAATGAGGGGATTCAGCTGCTGCACTGGGGATTTCTTAATGACTCCAGAAGGTAATTGTCGTTATGCCTTCCTTAAACCGCGCACGTTGATAGCCACAACTGCGAATCCTCATATTCGAATTTCTTTCAGGCGAGAGAAATCGGGAACGCATGATTCTTCATTGCACTGTTGCTGGAAATTTCTTACAGGAAATGTTTGTCGATGCAATAAATAAAACGATGAAATGGAAGGACACTCTGGTGAATTCCAACTCAAGCAAACAGAAATATCGGAAAGCTCATGAAGCTTTGATGGAATCGCTTCAGGAGTCGAAAGAACAACTTCAGTATCCGGGAGTCTTCGATCAACTTGCAACACACGCAGAGATGAATCGTCGTGTTACATTTGATGGATTTCCAAGAAATTGCTCGAGTGCATCTACAGTCACACCATCATCTGACGGCGGTAGTAGTGGGGGAGGGTCTGATGGTGAGAACGTCTTAATGAAGGAGTCAGAAATTCCGAGTGTGTTTGGCCTCAATTATCCCTATGTATCGGAACATCCAGGAAACAGTACTACGTCGCTTGGGTTGAATCAAAGTCAACTACAGGACATCAAAGCCTGGAAGGATAGAACTTTTGAAAAGATCGAAAATAAGGACAATTCAGAAGAATCAGCAGAAGATGTTGAAATGAAGAAAGAACAGACGGCAGAATCGTCGCTAGATCGAAGCGTTAAGTTCGACCCTTTCGATGTCAACCAGATGAATCCTTGGGACATTGCTCGTCATCTACATTCCTCGTCATTGCCATTCAATGATTGGAGACTTAAACCCGGCGACCAAATCGTTCAACAGCTTCGTCGTTTGATCGAAGATCTGCAACAGATTGGAATGCAAGATAAAAGACATCAGCACCAGATTCTCCAGGCGTTAACAACGACACCGGAGTTGGCGTTATATTTCCCGAGAGTTGCTCAACATCTTGGAATTGACCGGCTGTGGGGAGGCTTTCTTGATAGCCGGGTGAATCGGTCAACGTTTGTGGATTTGCCTCATGGACCGCCAGGCCGCGTTGCTCCGCCACAACCGAATCACCAAATAAGTTTGCCAAGTGGACGCATCATTCAAGGCGATGGTTCTCTGCGTGTCCCAAAATTGTACCATCCATCATGGGTGTACAAGGACGAAACTGGACTTCCCTTTGAAGGAACCATGCGTTATACAACAAAAATGGCCGAAGTCAAGAATACTGCAGACTTGGAACAGTACTGGCTTGGATTAGGAGCAAAACCGTTCCATTTGAGACCGAACGAATTGACCAGGCTCCGGTTTGAGAATCTTGTACGAACCCATTTTGCTGGACGTGAAGACGCATTAATTCGAATGTCGGACGGATTTTTCCAATCAGGAATGGGGAAATTGACATCGAAAAATAATGACCTTGTTAGCGGAAAAGTGACTTTGTATAAATTTCCATTCAATGGGTTTGCATCAATGATTACAACAGGAGCTAAAGGATCGAAAGTCAACTTTGCAATGATATGCGGTATGCTGTCTCAGCAGTCGTTGGAAGGAAAGCGTGTTCCGGTAATGGTCAGTGGAAAAACATTACCATCCTTCGCACGTTACGATCTCGGAGCGCGTTCCGGGGGATTAATCACTGATCGCTATCTCACTGGATTGAGACCGCAGGAATTCTTCTTCCATTGCATGGCGGGAAGAGAAGGTTTGGTGGATACTGCCGTTAAAACAGCACGTTCTGGATATCTTCAGCGTTGTGTTATGAAAGGTGAGAATCATCAAGAATAGAAGTGTTTTTTTGTTTGTGAAACTTTTCATGATTCACGATGCGTTCAAAATTTTTTGGAATCAGGAATGGAAGGAGTGATGGTCAATTACGATGGGACTGTTCGAGACAGTGATGGAACGATTATTCAATTTCTCTATGGCGAAGATGGTGTTGATGTTGCTAAGGCGTCGTATTCTGGCAAATTAGAGGATCTTTTACAAAATCCAACAATCGTTAGAGCAAGATTTTGGGGTGGAGAGAAGTCGAATCATCCTTTGATCAAAGAATCTATGTCCCAAGTGAAATCGTTTTTGAGAGAACAAGATGAGTTAAAGGAAATGTTGAATTCTAATCCGAATTATCCTATTGACCTCCACAAATGTTTGAGTCCCTTGGATCCAGTCAGTAACGTCTTTCCTCCGACTGGATACGTGGGAAGTGTGAGTGAGAAGTACAGAGGGCAAGTAGAGAAGATCGTCCAATCTGATGTTCATGGATTCCTGAAGAAGACTGTTGATGAGCGTCGGAAATGGAGAGGATTGGACGCGACATCTCGACCTACAAAGGAAGAAATCGAGGAATCGAGGGATATTCTTGAAAGTTTATTGTTGACAAAATTCAGCGAAACTCTTGCGGCTGCAGGGGAAGGGGTCGGGTGTCTTTCCGCTCAATCGATGGGAGAACCTGCGACCCAAATGACCTTAAATACATTCCATTTGGTGAGTTAATAGTACTTTGTTTGAAGATCTCCCAAATGGTCCCACATGCGAGAACATGGTAGTTGTATAACGTGTTATGGTATGTCAGGCGGGTCATGGTGCCGCTAACGTCACTTTGGGTATTCCACGTCTGCGAGAAATCTTACAGACAGCCGGAAACGCTCGAACACCATTCCTCTACATTCCTATACGAGGGGAAACTGCAGCAGACGCTGGAAGAAATGCCGAGCAAGTTTTATTGGGATTTAAGCGGATTCCACTGACTGATGTTATTCATGCTATTGGAGTTGAAAGCAATGTCTACCATCAAGTGAGTAACGGGGTTGACGCCTGGATCAAGTTCTTCACTCTTCCTTTAGCCTTTGAATGCGAAGCGTGGTCTACCTGAGTATGATCTGTCCCTCTATAAAGACAATATTGATCAAACGTTGATGCCGAAATTTTACTGGGAATACGAAGTGACAATTCAATTCGAAAATCTCGACCATTTCTGCAAAGTTGTTCCAAAATTCACTCCGCAAAAGATTCTCGCATTAACGATGTCGCGCGTTGTAAGAGATATGATGAAGCAAGTACGTCGTACTGGAAATGAAGTGTTGGAACGACCGAGTGGCGCTTCAGGTGAATAAATTGATGTTTCTGTATGCGACGAAATACGCGGAAGAGGAAGTTGATAGCGAGGATGACGAACTTGAGGACGCCGTGGATCGTTTTGTTTTCGATCGCCACACTCGAAGCCACTTTCAGAGAAGAGATCAGCGGAGAGAGAGAGCAAAAAATGCAGGAGTTGGATTCGGAATGAGTCGCGGAACGGAAGCTACTGGAGAAATGGATCTTCTGACGACCGTCGATGTTGCTGAGACTTACAAGCGTAAAACTGGAAGAGCTGATGATAACGAAAACGAACGAGGTGAGAGGGTGATGGTCGAACATGTCAATTATATTTTGGTTTTAGAAGATAAAGGGGATGAAGATGATCGAGAGAGAGATGACAATTCGGATGCGATGCCTGATTCTGATCATTCAAACGATGATTCGGAAAAAGTAGGAATATTGATCCCGATTCCGTTATTTGATTTCCTGATTTTTTGATAGGATTTTTCAGAGTCCGATATGGGAGACGATGCGAAGAAAGTTGAAGATGAATCGGATGATGAGCCAAGAATTGATCCCGCGAAATCCGAAGAGGAAGAGTTAATGACAGAGTTAATGACGGAAGAAGAACGGCGAGAGTGGGAGGCTCGAATCGCTGAAATGGAAATGAAACAATCTGAACGACGCCGAATTAGGGCATTGAAATCCAAGTACAAGGGTGAGTGAATCGGAGTTGCGCGGAAAAGTATGTGAATTTTTTGACAGGTGTGAATTTGGAATTTGATCCCATATTACGTATATTGAAAGCAGAAAGGCTTGTCGAACCAGAGGGGGAAGAGCTAGAAGGAGACGCCATGTGGAGTGACACCGAAGCTGCGGCATGGAAGGTGAAGCCATTGCCTGAGGAAGCGTTTCGGTTTCTGACGGACATTAAAATTTGTCGCAAAACCTGGAGAATCGTCTTGAAGTTTGGATGGCCAATGGAACGATGTCCCAGGTGGGTGCAGTCACTGTTATGGAAGAAAACGTCTTTCTGTTTTTAGACGTGTCACGTTTTTGGATGCGTTTGTTAAGATTATAAAAAAGCAAACACTTCAAGATACTCCTGGCGTTAGAAATCCACGTATTGTTGGGGTATGTTTGTGAAATACTCGTCAACCTTTTCGTCTCCAAGCATTCGTCTTATTATTTTGTTCTCCTCACAGGGAGACAGTTCTGAAACTGGCGCTATGTATGAAGTTCAGTGCGAAGGTTCAAATTTCGGGTGGATTCAGAGACTCAGAAGTGATTGTGTCGATCATGATCGAGTCACTTCAAATGATATTCGCGCTATTCTTCAATTCTTTGGAGTTGAAGCGTGCCGTCTTGTTATTATCCGTGAATTAAACAAGGTTTTCTCTGTTTATGGGATTACCGTTGACTACCGCCACATGAGCCTCATTGCTGATGCGATGACGCATTCAGGTGAGAGAGCCATTAGACCCAATTGTTCCAATCACTACAGCAAATATTTGGTCTTCAAAATGTTGTCTGGTTCTCTTTTCAGGATTCTTCCGTTCCTTCAGCAGACTTGGAATCGCTCATCATAGTTCCCCATTCTTGCAAATGTCTTTCGAGACTTCTATGAAATTCTTAACAGAAGCAGTTGAACGCGGGGCTTACGACGATCTCCGAACTCCCGCTGGATCGATTGTGACTGGAAAGCCCGCCCTTGTAGGAAGTGGAATGTGCAAAATTCTTCCACGTATTAATTTGGGACGCCACGTCACATTACAAAAGTCAACCCCATTGCCACAGATCAAAGAGGAGAAACCCGAAAATGACGCAGATGACGAAACACAAACAGAACCACGCAGGAAGCGTCGGCATTCCCGAGACCGAGAGCCAAGGAAGAAGAGAAAACAGAAATTCCACTTTGGTTGAATTGGTTTTTCATTCCTTTTCCCTCGTTTCATAGTTTCTTCAAGTAGATTCCATTTAGAGGAGTCGCTGAGCGGAAATTCTCACAGAAGACCGTTTTTACGTGCTTCTTCCAACTCTGCATCACTTATCCATATCACGATGCCTTGTCTACAAAAATCAAGAAAATCTCATTCCTTGTCTGCGTTGAATGCACAGATGAAATCTCACAATGATCAAAAGCTTAGAAACGTCGATCTGTGCAACCATGTAGAGATTGTCTTGACGTTCTCTCTCTACTGTTATGTCTAATCGAACATTTAAGTGGTAGATTGAAGCAGGAGTGGTCACAGCAAAGGGTGTTTTGGGTTTTCAGTATAATCCATATCACTCATTGATGATGCTATGGAACAAAAGCGTCATAATTGCGTGTCTGTGTGGATCGACTTCACTAAATCTAGCAATTCCGATGAAAGCTCAGCTTCCATCACTTCCTTCGCCTGCTTTTCAACATGAAAGGTTTTGAGTTGCTCTTTAAAAGCTCGAGCCGCTGCACAACATGCGCTTTCAGCGAGCTGCAGAATTTGAGCGTCCAATGGAGGATCAAGGGGAGCTCCACCAAAATCAAGAAATGCGACAGACATATCTGTTGAGCACAGACCCAAATGAACCAATGCACTGCATTTTTCAGCAGAAGAAGCTTGGGAGACCGATTCGACTTCCGATCCTGCTTCTCGAACAAAACCGACGGGACCATTTTCGAGTTCATCACGAGTGGGATCGACTAGAAAAACCGGTTGGTGGTCTGGGAGTGAAGGACTTCTAGTGCCACTGAGATGATCGACAATTTTGCGAGGGCGCGTTCCTTCCGACAGAATGCGACTTATTGGATTGACGGAAGGCACCTGGGGAAAGGCGAACATACAAACCGACGCGCTTGCACAAACATCACGGATGGGAATTCTGGCGTCCGCTAATGCCAATGATACACAATTAATAGCAGCTGAAAATAAACTTCCATCATTTTGAATCACTAAAACAGATAAATCGACCGTTGAATTTGGGAAACGATCCGTCAGAATCACACTCTGAAAAGCTTGAATCAAACAGCTCGACAATCGCGATACTTCCTCCCCTTCAAGATGTTGTAGATTACGACTTGGTTGACCAGAACCGCCTCCACTTCGAGTGACTCTCCCCAAGTCTTCTTGACAGAAAGGAGAGAATGTCACTTCAACGACCAATTCGCCTTCTTGCGGTCGATTGCCAGTTGTTCTACTTCGACTTGCCTTTGGACCAAACACAGAACACAACAAACGCGTCCCTCCCTGGCTGTAATAACAAGAACCCTCTGCTCTCTGAACGACTCCCGTCTTCATAAACATGCGTCTCATTTCATACAACTGTCGGCCATCCTCTCTTTGAATTTGTGGGCCCAACGTCGCAACCACCTTCCTTCTCTTCTTGGCGGGAAGAGGAGGAAGTGACGTTAAAGGCGATTGCAAGGCCGCCCATGCTGGTTGCTCGCCGTCCATCACGTGACTGGTCCAATCTGTTGTGGATCTGCAGGTTTTCGGGGTCAACATTATGAACGCAGTTAGGGTTCGACATCTTGAAAACTGTCTTAGCCTTTTCGATAAAGTATCAACAATCGCCAACCCACTCGATCGATTCCTTCAAATGTAAGTTATCGTGTCCCAATGATTTGCATTCAACGTGTCCCAATACATTCTTCTGTGAACAGTTACTTCAAAGAGCACCCGAAAATCAATTCAAACGATAAAGCTTGGATATCTGAACATGCTTACGAAGTCTTTCGATGGAAGGGACTTATCGATCGGGCGACGAATCCCCCTATTGGCTGGTCCTCTCGATTGAAAACATTTTTTATCACTCAAAAGTGAGAACGAAACGAAATTATCATCAGTGCAGGAGTTTGTATTCAGATGGAAATGCGGTACTCGGAATTCCAGTCTTCCCGAACACGTTCGTGTTTCATTCCCAGAAGAACTCTACGATCGAATTGCTGCAAGTCTAGGCGCCAGGAGAGCAATTCAAAGTTGCCTCGTATTGAATGAAGTCCCACCGAGATTTTTGCGCGTGAATATAAATCGCATTACAAGAGACAGGTGAGACAAAACATTTATCAAATGTCCCAAGTGACAATTGAATCGTTCATGAGTGTCTGTGATTTCTGAAACTGATCGGTTGTCATCAATGCATTCAGGCTCTACCGTCAATTATTACTCAAAGGTGTTGCTATTGAAAAATGTGCATCGTCACCAATCGGACTGCAATTAACTGTCCAACAGCAGTTGAGAAATATACCTGAGTATAATGAAGGGTTGATTGAAATCCAAGACGAGTCGTCCCAATTAGTAGCTATGAAAATAAAATGTCAACCTGGAGAAAGAGTCCTCGACTATTGTTGTGGGAGAGGAGGTCCGTCATTGATTACATGCTCATGCCTTTCAGATGGTCTCACTGTAGATTTTGACTTCTAGGAAAGGCTTCCATTTTTGGCATTGCAATGGAACACCGAGGTGCGTTAATGTCAAAATGTTGATCAATCTTCATCATTAGGGGAACTTGTACTCCACGATATCAATCTCGATGTAGTTGCATCTGCTAAGATTCGGTTGAAGAATGCCGGAATTCGAAACGCAAAATTTACATCCGATGAAACATCTCTCAATAGATTGAAGGAAAAATGTGATTGGGTACGCTTTGTCGAAAAGCGCCACATACTTGCAGTTTTAGGTGATATGCGATGTTCCTTGTACTGGAAGCGGGGCATTTCGCCGAAATCCTGAGCTGAAGTGGCTGTATACAGACGGATGGGGTGAGCGTTTCAATATTATTTCACTAAAGGAGTTTGTTTTTCTAGTTGAAGAAACTGGTCAACACACAGCGGGAAATTGTCTCGAAGTCACTTCAGTATCTTAAATCTAAAGGGGGGCGTTTGGTGTACTCGACCCAAAGCCTCCTGGACGAGGAGAACGCTCAGCAGGTGAATTCGGAAGACATGTCCGCTAATGACGCCTCAATTTTTCAGATCCGATATTTCTGCTTGAATTACGGTCTACGTCTTGTTGAAGATCCATTTCATTCCTTGCCATTGTCACGTGGAATGGATGGATTTTTCTGCTGCATTTTAGAAAAATCTGAATCACCTACAAAAATTGGAGAGCCAGACAAAAAACGGTTAGAAAATTCCAAAGAAGAGAAAAGCGGATCCCGTAAAATTAATTCTGAGGGTAGAAAAGCTAAAGCTCTCAAACCTGAAAAAGAAAAATCTGAAGCCCCAAGAACAAAAGAAAAATCTGAAGCCCCAAGAACGAAAGAAGAATCTGCAAAAGAGAAGGACGACCCTGCACAAAAACAACTAGAAGAAAAAAAGAAAGAGAAGCCTGAATTTAACATAGACGACATAGATGTTGAATTCATGCGAAAATGGTGATTAAATAGATTTTTCAGTCCAAATACAGACGAAAATAATTCACTCAAAGTGCACCATGTTGGAAATGAGCGTAAACGATAATTGGAAACCAGTATTAGCAAATACTCTTCAGCTGAGTCCACTGGCTGGTCTGTTTTCATATCTGGTTGTCCAGGCACTTCAAAAGGCGAGGAGAATGAGGAAGGCCTCAAGAGTTCCAATGTCGTTTGTGTATCTCTGATTATGTAGATGTAGGTGGTTGCAATAGCTTCAAGTAAAGGTGAGCTAGCTTTGATGTCAAGGATGTCCCAAATCAGAGTTTCAATGTTTTAGCCTATTTGCTCCCAAAATGGGTCATCCAACGAAAAAGAAGAAAAAGGCTCGAAAAGCTTTCAAAACGATTCATGGCAGCGAGGTCGAAAACGCCCCTTCTGAAGTTTCTGAATCGACGAAGGACTTTGATGTGGATGCTTTGATCGAGGAACTTGCTCGTGATGATTCGACTTCGAAATTATCTAAAAAACAAAGAAAAAAGCAAATCCAGCAGACGCCTTCACGAAAAAGGGAACGCTTGGTGCTTGACGCTCCAGTTTCGGCCGAAAACGCTGAAACACAATTGGACGAGCTTGTGGCGATCGACGCAATTTATCCACAATCTGTTCGTGTCGGTCGTTCTGGTTATCTGGATCCGGAAATACTTATCGCACGATCAATTCGTGTCATTGATCCAGATGAGGAGGAGCATGAAAAGTATGAGACGGCGCTGAATGAGATTCTCAAGGGCGGCACCACCATGCTCTTTGACTCGAACGCTGTGAGTCTGGAAATCTGTCTGGCCAGATGGTATCATTTCAGAAGTTTCATCGAGGAACGATCGAATACAGAATCGTTTTGTTCGCCGGAACCCAGGAAACGTTTTCTCCGACTCCGCTGGAGCAGAAAGCCAGACGATCCCGTGGGTCTTCTGTTGGAACTCTATACGCTGATCACGAACATGCGGCACTTCTTAGCATTCAAGAGGCCATTAAACGTCTTGTAGCGAACAAAGCGAGTCTTGCTGAGATCATTGTTGTTTATCCGATCAAGTAGAAATCATGTTAATAGAATCGATCTTATGGTTTTATTATCTCAGTTATCCGGAAACTTCGCCGTCTTTGACTCTCCGATTTTCGTTTACGCTGTCGAGCGAAACGGAATTTCAGCTGAATGCGTCCATCAATGATGCGCTGAAGGATTGTAAAGAGCGAATTTTGCCAGTTTGCGTTTTAGTCGACGAGGTTCTTAGTGAGAGAGGGGTGAGAGTCAGGGAGAAGGACTCAGCGCTATGGGAACAAATGCAAGACAGAGATCGGAAAACTGCTCAGAAGGACAAGAATACAGCCGATGCTGAAGACAACCGCGACGAGAAGAAGGAACGGGTACGCGTGTTTCGGTGTTTACAGTGTGAGTTGTATGTCTATCAGGAAGCAGAGAATGAAGAAATCACTGAGGAAGATGAAAAGCTCAGCGACTACACTAGCGAACTATCCCTATCGATTTCAATTGTTGATAGTGAGAAAATTGAAGATAGGGAGCCTGGATTGTTCAAAGCGAGGCAGTATAGGCGCGAGTCGCTTGGTTCTCGTAGCGATGATCAGCGATTTACAAAATTGAGGGTAAAACAGTTTCGTCGGAATCCATCAAGGAACTTTGTTCGTTTTCAGACAATTGGATCATTTAGAAACGGATTTTTTGCGAGACAACTGAGTCTTCGTCTACTCTTGATGGAGATGAACCTTGGATGTCTGATAGAGACTCAAGTGATAAAGGGAATGTATTTGAATTCGAGCTTGTTGGGGCAGATAATGAATCTCAACCTCCGTCTTGGATATGCGACGGAGTCGTTGGGTATTCAACTTTCGAGAGCGAAGGAATTTCTGGCGGGTGGAGTGAACGTAAGAGAAGACGAAGGCGTTTCGCTTATCGGGGAAATGAGAGGGAAGAACGCAAAGGGGGACACTTCTCTTCCTCCATGCGGTCCGCCAAATCTCCTTCTGCCATGGGAAGCCCCGCTCTTCCTGAATGACGTCACTGCGCCGTGGGGCGTGGTCGATTTACAGGTCCGCCCAACGATCATCTAGCTATTGAGTTGTTTAATTTTTTAGGCTCCGATTAAATACGCAGATGATGAACATCCAGATCGGAGTCATTCACCGCATCTCCAGATTGGAAAGTGAGACACGCACATTGAAGTTTCAATACTGGAATCTTGTTTGTAGATCAAAACTTCGAAGAGGGTCACCAAACAGAAATTCGGAGGCTGACGCGAGAAGCAAATCTTTCGACGTTGCTCGTATGAGTGGTGGAGAAAGTGATCGTTATTCCGGCATCGTGGGACTAGGGGCGAAGGAAAGACTCCAAAAAACGAGGGCGTTCATCAAAGGGAGCACCAAAGCGCCCGCAACGACTGGAGAAGCGATCCATCGACTCTTTCCCTGATTCAAAATCACAACGAGGGAAGGTCCTTACGTGTTTTGCGACGGAAGCAATCAGCGCTACCTGACGGTTCTCTCATGGTCACAACGTCGGATGTAGGAAATAAGGTGCACTGCCTGCATCACCTTTAATCCTTAGCTCTTTTGTTGACAGGGAATTTCAACAGCTAATGCAGCTCCTTTGCCCGAATCATCAGATGCGGCACTGAGTAGATTCCGTTTATCGCGCTATGTTAAAGATTTCGATGAAATTCAATTACAGCCTCCAAGTAGTCATCCGGGACAAATCGTCTCAAAAGTTCGTCATAAAATTGATCTCAACGTTTATGCAATCAAACGAGTTCAGTGGCCGAAATGTCCTCTAGTTCATTCCTCATTGAATTCAGATGTTCCTCCAGGCACACCATGTGAATTGGCAACTCTGGAGTCCTTTGAAACACCCGAACATGAACGTTCCTCTTCTCTTTCTCCACCTCTTCTTCCAGGGTGTCGTGGAGTCAAAAGTGTTGCGTCCTTCGGGACATTTGATGGACTTCCCACAACTTATCCAATTGGGGAGGAGGCATCAATATCAACAAACGCAGCGATTTCAGACATCACTGCATTCGTCAAGTCTCAATTTCAGTTATTCTCTATGGCCCTTTATCGCTGTATTATGTTGGAAATTTCCAAATTGAGCAGATTACAGCACGCATGTATAGGACGAGTTCTGCAAGGTTGGATTCAAAAAGGAAGCCCAACCAAACTTGATACAAGATCAATGAAGCAAGCTGTTTTTATCGGAACACCCACGATTGGGTTGCCTCGGGATCTCTCCCGTCAAACTCTTCGCTCTGGGGACTCTCAGCATTCAGGCTCCCTCCCCTCCTTAATAAATATCTTATCATCGGCTCCTCTGTTTTCTAACCTTCGTCTTCCCTCAGCGTCATCATCCCTCTTGCGTCTTGCTCAAGTGACTCCTGGCGCCTCCACAGGCGTCCCAGAGGCTCCCATTCCTTTTCCCCTTCATTTCGTAAGCGGTGGCTCTTACCCACCATCCACATCGGATCGCATTTTCTGCATTCAAATGGAGTTCTGTAGCTCTCCAACTTTGCGGTCTTGGATTGATCATCATTCTTTGGGTCACCGGGAAATGCAACGCGTTTGGATGTTTTTCAGACAGGTCAGTTTTCCTCTTATTTCTGACTCTATCGTCCGCAATTGCAGCTGCTGGAAGTCCTCGTGCTGATGCATCGGCAACACGTTCAACATAGAGGCTTAACACCATCGAACATATTTGTTGAAGTAGATGAGCAGGGATCACAAACATTGAAAGTGGGGGATTATGGTCTTGGAAATTTAATCAATCGTGAGACCTTGGCGTTTTATACACGCCTTGATTCTGATATTCGTAACCAACAACAACAAAAGATCTGCTGAGTTCTCAAGGCAGCAGATTTTGGGACAGGTTTTGGATGAGTCTCCACGATCTATCAATGATCCTTCCAAAAGTGAATTTGGTGCTGTACAGTCAAGTAGCGCGTTGGCCGCATTCAGACGGGATCTGCTATTCGAGTCTGAATATTATCTACCAGAAGAATTTTTTCGATTTTCATTATTCGATCGTTCAGAAGCTTCAGAAAAATCATCTGAAAGATTAACACGCGCCAGAGATTCGACTGATCAATCGATTTTCGACGGACCTTGTGGATCAAAAGGCGGATGTATTTTCACTTGGGTGAGTCAGTCAACGTTGTTTAAATCGAAGCTCTGTTTTTCAGACTTATTTTGTTTGAAATGTGTCACGAACCGTTTCGAAGTTCATCACAAAGATTGGAAACATTAAGACATTTGACATCGAGGTGATCATCGTGTAATACTCTTTGTCTTGGATTCTCTTTTATTATCTTCGTTGATTTTCTAGATATCCTCCAAGCGATGATGTTTTATCGGGAATTCAATCTCGAGATGCTGCTCTTCTTATTTCCCGAATGATCAATCCAATCGACCGACCAACCGCCAATTATCTTCTCTATGAAGAAAAACTCGTCCCT